CATTGAAACTACAGTCTGACCAGCCGTACTTAGCCTTCAGGATGAGCAGCTCAAGCACAAAATGTAGCAATGTCCAATGTGTCAGACAGCCCTTTTCAACACCATACATAATCTCCTTTGATGCTTTTGTTACCCTTTCTAAATTTTCTAGACCTTTTGGGCTATTTAGTAAAATCTCTAGTCAAAGGGCTCGAATCATGTCCTACAAATTATCTTCATCCCCGACACGTGTTCCACCATCATTATTGGCACCACCTTCGTCGTTACCATCCCAACCACCAGCATCACCACCTTGTTCATTGCCAAACTTGAAATCCATTCGTGCATCAAGCTCTACTGAATATTGGGACAGGGATTCTATGGTTTCATCGTTGTATTCGTCCTCATCCTCGTCGTTAACAATAATCGTTTCACCATGATGAATCCACACTGTGTAGTTCTCAACAAATCCTCGCATAATCAAATGTGATCTGATGATAGTCACATCTATCCATACCATACGGTTCTTGCAATCTTTACATGGGCAAATAATTGTATCCTTATTCTTTTTCAATGTCGTTGCATGCTTCTTTGCGGCTTTAATAAATTTATCCACCTCTTCAAGTAAACCTGCCTTAAACCTTAACGAACCATACATCTAAGAGTTTCTGTACTCCATCTTTTACAACAACAACAAAACAAACATTAAAGGACTACTTATTCAGATATATATAAAAATGAAACAAATTAATAATTACTTGAGAATAATTGTATATACTTCAGATATATATGAATATAAATCTAATATAATTACATGAAGCATACAAACACACCATGGTAGAGGAAAATTAATTAATGGCCTATTTATCCTTAAATAATTAAAATACATATTTATTGATTACAATAAACAATTTTAAAGACAACAATTAGCAACAATTATACTTTACCCAATATCTTTCATATAAACCCTAGTCCAATTTTATCAAACATAAATTTACAAAAACAAAATTAATAAAAAATCAAACCCTAGATCTAGATCCACATGCACATAAAACATCTGTAAAACTAACTAATTTTTCACTAAAATCAAGAAATATGGACCAAATAAGGGTATGATCTTGTTTCCCTCCCTAATTTACCCTAGTACATTTAAAACTTGGGTCTAATTTGCTTCATAAGTAGCTCAAGCACCATAAAAGAGAGAGAAAAATAAAACTCTAATTACTCACTAACCAACCATTAAAACTTAAAAAAAAGTGTGGAATAGCATTTTCTTACCTTCTATAACCTCTCCACCAAAGGATTTGAGATCAAAACATTCATCCTTAGTAGAGCAATTTTTGGGAGGTGCCCAAGGCCTCCCCACCTTTCTTTCACAGGTTGGAGTGAGTGACCCGAGGAGGAAGAAGGTGCTGTAGCTGTTTTATACGTGGGTCATTTGTAGGGGCGGCTGGTGATTGAGCCACCCCTATAAATCGGAGCTATATATACGGGGGTATTTGTAGGGACGGCTCAATCACCAGCCGCCCCTACAAATAGCAACTCTAGAGACGGCTGGTGATTGAGCCGCCCCTATAAATCAGATCTCATTTATAGGGGCGACTCGTATCACCAGCCGCCCCTGCTGTTCTATTTGTAGGGTCGGCTGGTGTCCGGCACCCGAGCACGCCACTGTAGGGGCGGCTCCGTCACCAGCTGCCCCTACAAAAAATTCAAACCGTTGCTAAAAATCGATTTTTACGTAGTGCTTGTTCCAGTCCGACCATATATTAGTAAGGTGTTCACTATTAATACATGGCACATATGTGTATCTCATAGGTGCCATTCGGCTGACCTTCAAAGGCGGCTTGTTTGTCTTTTTTTTAGCTAGAACAGTGTTTTTCTCTAACACCAATTCATCTGGAACAATGTTTTTCAGCCAAATTCAGCTAAGCGAACGGGACATATAGAGTTTTTTAGTTCTTGTGCCTAAGCGGACTGTAAGCTTATAGCCTACTTCTCCTCTCTCTTCTCTTCACCTCGGCATTTAGCTAGCTTATAGCCTGTTATTATATTTGCTCTTAGGGGCACAAAAGTATCCCCGCGAGCCAAAGAGTACCATCTGGGATTCTCTCTCCCATTGGTGGGCCACCGTATGCAGTACTCCTATCTCTGAACAAATAGATTATGTCTAGAGTTGTCTTAAATCAAAATTTTTAAACTTTGACCAAATTTTTACAAAAAAAAATGTTAAGACTTAAGGTATAAAATTAGTATCATTAGATTTACCATAGAATATATTTTCATAAGGTATTCATTTTATGACAAAATGAAACACAACATGAGTCTAAAACACTAAAAACACTTGAAAACCATTGTAAACATATGCAACATCCGGATAAAATACTTGCAACATATGTGTACAACCATTGCAACATATTTCGATCTAGTTTTGCAACATCCATACGAAACACTAGCAACATAGCTCTAAAAGATCTGAAACACTTGAAACATATGTTTGCAACATGTGTTTTCAGCGCAACATATACTTGCTGCTTGGATAGTTGGAGGCTCGTCGATACCGAGCTTAATGTCGTGGAGTGGCGCGCAGCTCTAGTGGAGAAGGTGGCTGGCGTGGTGGAGAATACCATGGCGGGCGGATGGCCCGACGAAGAGGAAGGATGGCAGGCGGTGGCGCTGGAGCGTGGTGGGAGAGAGAGGACACCAAATCTGGTGGTAGCGGTGGAGAGCACCGCATGACGGCTTGGTCGTGTTGGAGCACGCCACAGTGTACACGGGCACGACGTTGGTGCGATGAATGGTGAGGAACGGACAACACGAGTAGATATGGTGGGGGCAAGCAAATCGCAATTAGAGAGTTGAGTCACAGTGCTAGTGTCGTGGCCCATCAACAGAGAGCGTCCCTGACGGACATATGTCCTTAGCACAACATTGCCGCTTAATATAATTAATCATATTAATTTTTAGTAATTTAGTTTATTTATTTATAATGTATAGATAAATGTTTTTTGGTACTAAAATATTTATCTACATTTTTATTATTTTTTACATATTTGATTGTTGAAATATTTTTGAATATATATATATATATATATATATATATATATATATATATGTTAGTTGTCTTTATCTACCGCTGCTATACAGCCATATTTTAAATCCTAACATGTATAGTAGTTTTATTTTCCTATAAAACCATCTATAAGCAAATCTAAATATTATCTTCAAAATCAAGTATACATCCGAATGCAAATTCAAATTCAAACTATTCATTTTGTATTCATATCCAACAATATCTATATCCATATTCAGATTTAAATTAATTATACTTTCTCCGTCTCAAAATGTATATTCTGTTTCTCGAGGTGTCATTTTTTTTTAAAAATAACTAATTATATAGAAAATAATATTGACATTTGCATTACAAAAAAATGTTAAGACTTAAGGTATAAAATTAGTATCATTAGATTTACCATAGAATATATTTTCATAAGGTATTCATTTTATGACAAAATGAAACACAACATGAGTCTAAAACACTAAAAACACTTGAAAACCATTGTAAACATATGCAACATCCGGATAAAATACTTGCAATATATGTGTACAACCATTGCAACATATTTCGATCTAGTTTTGCAACATCCATACGAAACACTAGCAACATAGCTCTAAAAGATCTCAAAACACTTGAAACATATGTTTGCAACATGTGTTTTTTTAGCGCAACATCTACTTGCTTGCTTGAATATATGGAGGCTCATCGATCTGCAGAGCTTAATGTCATGGAGAGTGGCGCGCAGCTTCTAGTGGAGAAGGTGGTCATGTGGTGGAGAATACTGTGGCGGCGGGGATGGCCCGACGAAGAGGAAGGATGGCAGGCGGTGGCGCTAGAGTGTGGTGGGAGAGAGAGGACACCGACTGGTCGGGCGCCGTGGAGAGCACCGCGACGGCTTGGTCGTGTTGGAGCACGCGTGCGGCGGTACGGGCACGACGTTGGTGCGATGAATGGTGAGGAACGGACAACACGAGTAGATATGGTGGGGGCAAGCAAATACGCAATTAGAGAGTTGAGCTATTGTGCTAGTGTCGTGGCCCATCAACAGGAGCGTCCGGACGGACATACGTCCTTAGCACAACATTGCCGTTTAATATAATTAATCATATTAATTTTTAGTAATTTAGTTTATTTATTTATAATGTATAGATAAATGTTTTTTGGTACTAAAATATTTATCTACATTTTTATTATTTTTTACATATTTGATTGTTGAAATATTTTTGAATATATATATATATATATATATATATATATATATATATATATATATATATATATATATATATATATATATATATATATATATGTTAGTTGTCTTTATCTACCGCTGCTATACAGCCATATTTTAAATCCTAACATGTATAGTAGTTTATTTTCCTATAAAACCATCTATAAGCAAATCTAAATATTATCTTCAAAATCAAGTATACATCCGAATGCAAATTCGAATTCAAACTATTCATTTTGTATTCATATCCAACAATATCTATATCCATATTCAGATTTAAATTAATTATACTTTCTCCGTCTCAAAATGTATATTCTGTTTCTCGAGGTGTTATTTTTTTTTAAAAAAAAAACTAACTATATAGAAAATAATATTGACATTTGCATCTCTGTATATGTTTATTATGAAAGTATATTTCATGATTAATCTAATGACACTTATTATTCATCATGACCATTAATACATTTCTATATATATGTAGCTAAATTTTAAAATATTTTAACTTTTTGAAAAATGAGATACACGTATTTTGACTTTTCTATCCACATTCGGTTCCAACTTCCAATTCGACCGCATCTCCGGACCTTTCTCTCTCGTATTTGCGCATTTGCCATCTCTGGTCACGCTTTCGGGCTTTCCTCTCCGGCCTTTCCACCACTGCCACCACCTCGCACCTCCTCCACACCGGCTAGCAGCTTCGCCTCGCATGGTCCCGCGGGAGCGCTCCAGGACATGTCAGTGGCGGCCGCGGAGGCGTCAATGCGCGGCACCGAGACGGCTGGTGCGAAGCCTGCTGCGCGGCGGCTGGGCCGCGTGCTGGTCGGGTGCCGGCGGCGGGCCGCCGTGCTGCTCCTCGCGCTGGCCTACGCGGCGGCGATGCTCGTGCTCACCATTGGCGTCAGCGAGGGGTTGGACCCAGCGGTGCGGTGGCGGGCGCGCTGGGGCTGCGCGCGCAACCGGCGTCCCCCGGGTCCGTGTACCGCAGCCACCTCGTGTTCGAACGGCTCCTCCCGGAAATGCGCGCCTTCGCCTCGCGGCCGAGCCCGGTGAGCGTCCCTAAGTTGGCATTTTTGCCCCCTATACTAGGATCTTGTGGCTTGATTTCGTGGGGCCGAATTGAGTTCTTGCATGCCAAAGTTCCGGGTTTTCCTCGAGAGGGATAAACGATTGCCTCCCTGCTTGGTTAAATGTGTCATCTAAGGTTTCAGAATTGCAATGTGGGGCTCGATTTGATAAAATTGTCATCCTATAAGATAAATCTTATTCTGTGTTCTTTTCTTGCCCTTTCAATCTTTTTTTCAACCATTTCCCCTTTTGCTAAAAGGACGACAAATTTACCTCCAGTCACCTGAATTCAACAAAGCTTGAAACACTCAAAATTAGGCTCCTTCTACAAGAAAATAGGGGATTTGGACAATCTGTGAGTCACGTTTCATGAGGCAAAAGAAACATGTTTTGCCACCTTACATGTAGAAATTTACTTGCGAACTGTAGCATGTGCTGCTTTTTGTTTCATGTTCGAATGGCAGAAAGGTGACGACCCTTTCATAAATGACAAGCATAGAGTATACACTACAACTTGGTGATGCTAGATGAGAGGATAAAGTAATCAAAAGAAGGCACAATTTTGCAAAAGGAGGTTGTTAACCAGTACCAAAGAGTCACGTAGACAGTTCATGGAGGCAGTTTTTATGACGACATTCCATTTCCATGTTCTGTAGTTTAGATTTCAAACAATTTGTGAAGAACATTTTCGGTGATCACAAGGCTAAACGGTGAGCAGAGCACAACCACCTGTTCCAACACAAGGTTTCAATGTTTCATAGCAAGGGACCTTAGCTACTGCTATCGCATTATATGCCACTTCTTACATGTTATTAAAAACCCTTCTGCTTATTCTGTTACATATCATTATCAGGTACAACATTGCCCTGAAATATGTAGTATTCTGGTGCCTTATTTGTGTGACTGGCAGAAGAATAATCCTATAGAAGTGAAAAAAGTGTTTTTATTTTGTGTTCGACATGATTTATTTTGTCCTGTTGATGTGGTGTCTCTGGTTTCATATCTATTACTGTCAGGGCTATTGATTCTTCAAAAAAAAAAACTCTCAGGGCTATGTGCTATTTTTTTATGTTGTGAACTTTGAAAGACTCAGCACAATTCTTTGTGACTTTGGCTCATGGTTGAGCATGAAAATGCTGATCTTGTCTTGATCAGTTATACTATGCTAATAATCTCAATAACCTTAGGAATTCAAGTGTGAATCTGTTTAAATTTCTTTAATCATAAGGACCATGAAACTCTTGTTCTTTATGCTAGGAAATTAGGATATCTTACATGTATGTGACATAGTTCCTTTTTGTCTTTCCATTGCACAGTTAGTAACATCTCATTACAAAAAGTCTGGAAAGCAATGGGAACCTTGTATCAGCAAGGGGTTGATACACTCAGGTAAAAGAACCTTAAGAGTGTAATTTGCATACCAAACATCCAAGTCATAACTCAAATACCAATTCTTGTTTGTTTACCTCTTTGTCAATATAAGCTGGGAAAGAGAACATAACTTGGTAGCTGACATTGATGGCACACATTTACGCTTTTCAGAGTTACCGCCTTCAAATGGTTTCCTCATAGTTGAGGCAAATGGTGGCTTGAATCAACAACGCATTTCAGTAAGTTGTACGATCATTTCCGACTAGATTTGAATAGTCCAATTCTATATGTTGACTTTATCATTTTGATCTAGAAGCTAAATTTTATCATTATTTGCATGCACTTCTAAAATCCGTTGGTATTAAAATGTTTTTTAACAGTTCATCCTCAAAATACAATGAGATTTCACGGAGCCGTATTAGCTCTCTTACTCAGTTTAAAATAATTGTCCAGTACTCCAGTAATTAGCGGTTACTAGATGGTTGCGTTTTGTTTTGAGAGAGGGATCCAATCTCAGCCAAGAATGTCCTGGTTATATCTTTGTTTTCTTTATAATCAGCAAGGTGTCAAGTTTGTTGATAGTTAATTCTGTGGTCCAAATCATAAATTGGCAGTTCTATACATGTGTTCAACCTCACACTTCCTTAAATATGATAGTTGGTATTTTATTGCATATCTGTACCTTATCTTCCATGGATGTCTCAATAACAAATGGAGTTTTATGTGCTTACCAATCTTCATTGATGTTTTTTTTCTTTTTGATATAGCACCTCAAGTTCAAGTTAGGTTTCCTCTTTTCAGCATGCATTTTTGGTGGTTATCTGATTGAGATTTCTTAATACAGATTTGTGATGCTATTGCTGTGGCCAGAATTCTTAATGCAACTCTTGTGACACCAGCATTTCATTTGAATAGCGTTTATGCGTGATTCTAGGTAAAAGTTTATGTTTACATAATAATCATAGATGTATTTCTTTCGAGTAACTGAAATGTGGTATATGCCTTCCTCCTTTTCTTTTCTTGGAAACTAGTTTTTTACTAGTGCTTTACTATAGTAAGTTGGGAAACTTACTTCTGTTAGTAGTCTCCTTTGCAAGTGTTTTTCTGGTTAATCTTTCATAATGAGGCTGGAGTGAATAAGTTAAATGGGTTATGATCCCTATTGCACGTGGCCTTTTTTGTATGCACACCAGCCTTTTCTTGTTGCTGCTAGCCTGCTACCTTTGAGGCTATGTTTGCTCTTACATAGTTATGCATTTTGACAACTTAGGTTTGGTCATTGTTAACAATATGGTCCTATAAGCTCCCATGTATCCTATTAGCTGCCTTTCCTTTTAGCATATAAACAACAACAACAACAACAACAACAACAACAACAACAACAACAACATAGCCTTTCAGTCCCAAGCAAGTTGGGGTAGGCTAGAGTTGAAACCCACCAAGAGCCCCAAGTCACGGTTCAGGCACTTCAATAGCTGCTTTCCAAGTACTCCTATTCAAACATAGATCTCTAGGTATATCCCAAGCTTTCAAATCTCTTTTTATTGCCTCCCCCCATGTCAATTTCGGTCTTCCTCTACCTCTCCTTTTAGCATATAAAGTTTTCCCTTAATCATTTAAATATGCTGATTCTACATGTTCTGTCCCTTTGGGAATTAAAACTGTAATACCTAAAATATATGTCAGTTTTTTTCTCGCTGTTTCATGAGGATGTCTTTTCAAGTTTTCAGCAAATTTGGTGATATCTTTGACGAAGATCACTTCATTGAGTCGCTTAGAAAATATGTAAGGGTTGTAAAAGATCTTCCTGAAGATGTTTTTCTGCGATTCAACCATAATATCAGCATAATACCAAATATGAGAACCAAAGCTTTCTCACCCCCAAGTTACTACCTACAGCAGGTGCTTCCAAAATTGTTGGAGCTAGGGTACGTGCTCCCTTCCTTTTTTTTCCCCTTGCCTCGAAGTAGAGTCAGATCTTTGCAGTGAGCATCCCGTAGTACCATATCTTCACTTATTTCTTGTTCTATGACACAGGGCTGTGCGTATTGCCCCTTTCTCAAATAGACTGGCCCATTCGGTTCCTATGAATATCCAGGCATTGAGATGTTTGACAAACTATGAGGCACTAAGATTTTCTGAACCAATAAGAATTCTTGCAGATAATATGGTTGACCGAATGATCAAGAGGAGTTTTTTAACTGGTGGGAAGTACGTCTCGGTGCATCTTCGCTTTGAAGAGGTTTTACTAAAGTTTATCTTGTGTGGACTAACATTACTACAATTCTCAAGTTGTGATGACTGTGTGTTCTATGTTTAGGATATGGTAGCTTTTTCATGCTGCAAATATGATGGTGGTTCGAAGGAGAATAATGCAATGGAAAATGCTCGTGAAAGGAGCTGGAGAGGGAAATTCCACCGACCTGGTCGAGTGATAAATCCTGAGGCTAACCGAAGGAATGGGAGATGCCCTTTGACACCTTTGGAGGTTGCAACATTTGTTCCTTGCAATCTTGCCTTTTCTGAATTGCTTCGTCATTTTTAGAGCCCATGCCATGTTTCTGAGGTGCTGCTGTCTACTAATGGACAGTTACATCACAGGCAGAGAGTGCCAGGTCATATTGGCAGATCATTTCTAGATTGTCTTGTCTTACTCCTTGAATAGAATAATTATCCTCACCTAAGTTTATAATATTGGACTTTATCTCTGATCAAAATTTAGGGGAACTGTATTTGCTTCATTTTATAAGGTATTATGTAACTTCTATTTTCTTACTAGTTCAGTTTATACAAGGTTGGAATGATGTTGCGAGGAATGGGATTTGACAACACTACTTCCCTTTATGTTGCATCCGGTAAAATATATAACGCTGAAAAGTACATGACTCCTCTTCGACAGTTGTTTCCATTTCTACAAACAAAACAAAGTCTAGTTACACCTGAGGAGCTTGCACAGTTCAAGGTACCTTTTCCCTTGATTATTCCAGTCCTCTAATAAATATTAGAAATTATGCCTCCCTTCTCTATCCCATTTGTATTGCATCAAGAAATGGAAGCCAGGTGTCAAAGGATAAGTTTGCCTGCTGACACTGTATGTAGGGACATTCATCAAGACTAGCAGCACTGGACTATACTGTCTGTCTTCACAGTGAAGTGTTTGTGATGACACAAGGAAGCAATTTCCCTCACTTTCTGATGGGGCATAGACGTTATATGTACGGAGGACATGCAAAGACAATAAAACCAGATAAACGGAAGCTAGTTCAACTCTTTGACAATCCAAACATCAGGTATATATTTTCAGTTATCCTCATAAAGTTTCATAAGCTGTATCAATGAATGTGGCCTGAAATTCATTCACGTGTAGCCATTTTTTGGTCCAGGATGACCCTTGTTTCATAAATGTTTTGCCAAACATGATTGCTTGAAAGAAGCCCATTCTAATCTAATTACAGTATAGCCATGTGCATGCTGACATACATTTAAATCTTCTGCAACTGGTTACTCTCTTTTAGTTTGAACACCTGCAATGGGCAGATCATGCAGGATCTTTGCTTCCTTTTTCATACTCGTCATCTAATTGACGAGTATCTAAGTTAATTTTGTATGTAGATGGGATCGATTCAAGCACCACATGGAGGACATGCGTCGGCATAGTGAGATGAAAGGTTTCGGATTAAGGAAACCACAGGAATCCATTTACAACCTTCCCATGCCTGACTGCATGTGTCAGCAAGCTGAAGCACGATCAAGATACACGGCAAGGAACTAGCAGGTTCCACCCTTGTAAGTAGCCACACCATATAGCAGTAAGCAAAGGAAAAATAAATATTGGTTTGAGCATAGAAAAGAATATAGAGATTTCAAATTATATGACTGTTGATATGAATCCTTCCCCCAAAAAATAGAGATTCATCAGTGAGTGTAAAGAAGGTAGTCATAATTGCACTTGTACAAACATCCCGCGGGATGTACTTTTCTCGTCCAACGTCCATCCTGATGAAACACTTAAAACATAAGTCTAAAACGCCCGCACAGGGAACCCATGAAACCCACAGCGATCTACTTTTAAAACATTTAGATAAAATATTTGACCACGTGCCTACCACCTAAAACATACATGTATAGGTGAAACATGTAACATCCAGCGCACATCGTGCACTACCGGTGGGGAACTGCGGTAGCTAGCAAACTCAAGTCAAGAGAATGTTTGAAGAGCTGCCCAAACACCAAACCCAGGCGCAAACATGCCTATGACCTCCCCTTCCTGCCATCGGTGTCTTTTGCAACGGCCGGGATGAAACACTTCATGCCATGTCTAAAACGCTGCGATGGCGTGAGGTGGATGGGGGCGCGGAGGAGCACGGGATGGGTGCGTCCGAAGAAGACGAGGTGCGCGGTAGATGCACCAGTGGCGGTCGCATTGTTGGTGGGGAAAGGAAATGTCAATGTCTTTTCGAGAAATTGTGAAACACTTAAGGAAAGGAAATGTCGTTGTCTTTTCGAAATTGAAAAACACTGTGGAACACTTAAGGTGGAGCGGAGGTGGAGGCATGTTTGAGCCTGAACGTGCCGTCGGCCGTCCGATGGATATGCCTGGATGGACGCCTCACCAAAGAATTTCCGTTTTTTTGTTCTAGATAAATTATAAATAATAATTTTTTTGAGATATATCTGAGGCATGAGCTCAACCATTTTGATTGTGTAAGTTATGGGCCGTGCATCTGTAGCATGGGCTCATTCTGTCCATATTCCTATCTGCATAAAATGGTTGCAATGGAACTGGAAATCGAGGGAAATAGCTTCCTCTAGGCAGCACATGGGGAAAAAAGTCTTGTTCGTACGAGATGTGAAATAAGCCTTTTTCTTCAATGTAATCACAACAGATCTCGTAATGATTTGTAATTCAGAAAGACTAAGCGTTACAAAAATCAATGTCATTGCTTGATATATTCAGAAAGACGACTAAGCACGATCAAGCTACTCATGGTTAACGTTGTCTCCGACGGTGAAACCGTAGTCGCCGCCACTGCCGTCGTCCTAGTCCTGGTAGTAGCCGGAGTCGTCGTTCAAGTAGCTGTTGCCATCGTCGACGAAGTAGGCAGCCATCTCTGCCATAACACTGCCATTACCAGCGCCTAGGTAGACAACCAACCCAAGGGCATTTCCGTCGTGGTCGTCGTCATGGCATGGACGAAGCCGTAGTTGCTCGGACCGGGCTGGTCCGTATCCGGGACAGCAACCTGCTGCAGGCCGCCGGCGGCGGCATCGGCGTCCTTCAGTCGCTGCTTGCCCCTATCGGTGACCTTGACGCGCGACAGGACGGTGCTGGAGAGCCGCGGCGGCACGGTTGTTAGCCTCTGGATCTCTGGCACGGAGTTATCCAACTACTAACTTGTATTGCTGAGCAGACACTAGCGATGTCGACCACGAGTTAGCTACCACACACTATGATTAGAGCTAGAAGATGAGAGGAAGAACAGAGCGCACACAGCACAAACACCAGCGTTGGCTGAAGCTCTGCAGAGAAGATAGCAAACTGAATTCACTCTCTTTACTGAGTTGCAGTGGCAAACTATATATACAACTCTACTCATCTAATCCCAGTACAGCTTTCATGCTGCTACAGTGACTAGATATGACACAGGGCTGACTTTGGCGCCTGACCCTGCTGTGGCTACAGTGCGGCAGGAGAGCCGTTCGACGCCTGCCCCTGCAGCGGCTACAGTGTCACGTCAGTGAGTCTTTTCGGCGCCGCCTTCCCCTGCTGCGCATTCACACAAGGGAGCAGCAGTTTACTTAACAATTATTTTCCTAATCCTGCTGCTAACCCTAAAATATCTCCATGCCGATCATCTTCTTCAGCTCCGTGAATCAAAGACGGCCGAGCGGCTTGGTGAGGACGTCAGCGAGTTGCCGACCAGTTTCGACAAACTCGATGACGATCTGCCCTCCATCGACACAGCCGGTCTTGGGGAAGACGATCCCTTGATCCACCGTCCTCTTGACGTAGCGCAGCAGCCACTTCACTGCAACCCAGTGATCCTCTCGGAGATCCTCCATGAAGCGGCTGACGTAGCCCACGACGAATGTAATGTCCAGCCTCGTGTGGACTAGGTAGCGTAGACCGTCGATGATGCTCCGGTAAAGTGTTGCATCTACCTTCGCCGCGGTACTGGCCTTCGTCAGCTTCAGCCGCTCCTTCATCGGAGTCACGCATGGCTTGCAGTTAGCCATACCGATCTGCTCCAACAGCTTCGAGGCGTACGCGCTCTGACCGAGCGTGAGTGCCTCCTTCCCCTATCTCACCTCGATGCCAAGGTAGTAGAAGAGCACATTGAGATTGCTCATTCGAAACGAGCCGCCATCTCGCGCTTGAAGCTGTCGGTGTCCTCCGTACGCACGCCGGTGACGATCAAGTCATCCACATACACGCTGACGATGAGCTCCTCCTTCCCCGTCGCCGCGTGTAGAGCGCATGCTCGGTTGCGCACCGCTGGAACCCAAGCTCGCCTAGCGTGGCGTCAAGCTTGGTGTTCCATGCTCATGGGGCCTCACTATACCACAACCTATCTACAGCGTCCTATGGTAGGTCACTATAAGTCAGTACAGCGACCTACGGTAGGTCGCTATATACATATAGCGTCCGACTTGACGCGTGGGTATAAGTGGCGTCGCTATAAGTTATAGCGTCCGACCTTAATTATAGCGACCGACCGTTTGACGGTACGTTAAAGATATACCGACCGACTGTTCGATGCCAAGTACATACTTATAGCGACTATTGGTCAGACGCTATATATTATATAGCGTCCTATCTGACACTATCAATACAAAAAATTAACAGCATAATTATTCATTAACCTCAGTATCAGTACTAAGCATACAATCAATGAACCATATATAAAATCATCAATTCCATTTTGGACAATATACACAATTATGACAATGAAGCTCATAGCTCACAATTATATCATTATATCATATCTATAAGCTCAACTTGGAGAAACAAGTTACATAAGACAGTTTGGCCATCAAGATAGAATAATGCATAGCTCATATATAGATGTTTGTACTAGTTGCACAGTTTACATCTCATGGTTTGCTCGCACTCAGTACAATTCATCACTTAAACAAAAGCATTCATCTCTAGTTAGAATGTCCAAAAGCATTCATATCTAGTTAGAATGTCCAAAATAATGCATTGGCCATGCGAAATTCTATCCAATTGCTTCCTGCATGCATCAGGCCCCCCTAGCCATTACCTCCCACCTGCAAATAAAAGATATAATAAACTGATAGTTCCAATCCAAATAGCAGCTGAGATGTAATTCGGCTAAGTAACATGCTTTTGATTTGGCTACCTAAATAGTGTGTAGATTTCAGTACTAGTACTACAAATATTCTGGATTGCAGGACATTGGTTAATCTGGATAGGGTTCTATGTTCTGGGAGCATCTTTTCCCAGATTGTCTTTTGCAAAGTGCAGGTTCACATGACTCTGACCATTGTCCTTTGGTTTTTGGTTGCTGGATAATAAAACAG